ATATTTGTGTATATTCTCTTTATATTTATTCTGTACACACTTACATACATGTTCTCACCCATTAGAATGTAAGCTCCTTATGAGAAGGGATTACTTTATTTTTTATATTTTTAATCCCCAGAACAGTGCCTGGCACATAGTAGGTCCTTAATAAATGTTTGTTGATTGACTAAAATCTAAGTATATTTAAAACTCAACAGATTTAAGAAAATCTAAGGCATGTGTCACATCCTGTGTAGCCGGGTGTGACCAGAATACTTTTCCTTCCTCTTTATGGAGCAGTTACAAACACAGAACCCGAAATGTTCATGCCAAGCAGGTTGCTATTATGTCTAAACACATCTGCTATGGACTTTTTTGTCGCCGTTTGGATCTTAGAGACAGAGCTTACCACCAAAATCTTGAGTCCAAATCCATCAATCTTTCCCCTGTACCATGGTACGGAAAAGGAGGCTGTGGCTGTCTCCTCTGTAGGCCCAGGTTCTCCACAATGAGGAGTGCCTGGCACATGGTAAGTGCTTAGTAAGTACCTGCTGATTGGCTAGGAAGGAGGCGGAACCTAAAGACAGAGCCCTGAGTCAAAGCTATTCCGACAGCAATGGGTAAAGTGTAAAGTTTATACTTTACAAATACTATACAGAACATATTCCTGCTTAAGAAGTAAAAGTAAAGGGGCAGCTAGATGGTGCACTGGATAGAGCACTGGCCTTGAAGTCAGGAGGACCTGAGTTCAAATACGGCCTCAGACCAAACACTTGACATGTCCTAGCTGTGTGACTCTGGGCAAGTCACTTAACCCTAATTGCCTTTAAAAAAAAGGGGGGGGCAGCTAGGTGGCACAGTGGATAGAGCACTGGCCCTGAAGTCAGGATTACCTGAGTTCAAATCTGGTCTCAGACCAAACACTTGATACTTACTAGCTGTGTGACCCTGGGCAAGTCACTTAACCCCAATTGCTTAAAAACAAACAAAAAAAAAGAAAGAAGAAGAAGAAGAAGAAGAAGAAGAAGAAGAAGAGAAGAAGAAGAAGAAGAAGAAGTAAAAGTAAATCTGGGTGAAGTCACACATGTATGTGTTAAAAGAAAACAACATATAACAGAGAATCACCAAGTGACATCACAAATGACTAAACAGGCTATTTGGACAGTTGAAATCAGCTGTGTTAGGAAAAAGAAAGGAAAGCATTGAGATAAGTCCAAAGTCAAGAAGGAACAAATTAATGAACATGGAGCCAGAGAAACTAAGGTTCAAATCCCAGTTCTGTGACATACTAATTGAATAACCCTGTGCAAGTCACTTAATGTCCCTGGGCCTCAGTTTCTGTATCTGTAAAATTAAAGGGTTGACCTAGCTGACCTAGGTCCCTTCTATTTCTAAATAGATGACCTTAGGTAGAAATCATGATGCAGAAGACTATCTTCCTATCTCTTACACTAAGAATATAGTATCTCATTTATGGAGATAAGAAATGATGATGGGAATATGCCACAAATAAATATCACTATTAATCAATATATAAAGCACTTAAATGTTTCAACAACGTTGCCTTCTTATTAAGCAAACTGATATTAACTGACAATTTAAGAGAACACATAAATTGATTTACTATAAGTTTTAAATAACCGAGTTCTCTTAAGGGTATGGATATAAAACAATTGTCTATCTTGGTTTCTACTCCTATCATAACTTTAAAAACTATATTGCATAATTCAAAATCTACAAGAAGATCATGGTGGCAAATGAGAACAAATTGCAGTGTAATGGAAACAGTCATGGATTTGGAGTTAGAGAATCTGGGCTCCATTGATTGGGGAATGGCTAAACAAATTATGGTACATGGATATAAGCGAATATTACTGTCCTGTGAGAAGTGATGAATGTGATGATTACAGAGAAGCATGGGAAGATTTGCTACAGACTGAAGTAAGCAGAGCCAAGAAAACAATTACACAATGACTGTCGATGTAAATGAAAGAACCACACAAAAAAGTGAATGTTGCAGACCTATAAACAAGTATGGTTCAAAAAAACAGACATGAGAAGACACCCCCCACTTGGGGTAGCTAGGTGGCACAGTGGAGAGAGCACTGGCCCTGAAGTCAGGAGGACCTCAGTTCAAATTCAGCCTCGGACCAAACACTTGACACTTACTAGCTGTGTGACCCTGGGCAAGTCACTTAACCCCAATTACCTAAAAAAAGAAAAAAGAAAAAAGAAAAAAAGAGAGAAGACACCCCGACCCTAACCCTTGGCAGAGTGGGAGGTCAACAAGTGTTATTCATTGCATATATTTTCAAACTTTTTCAATGTACTGATCAATTATGCTGATTATTTTCCTCTTTTCATTTTTTTGTCTTTAAAAATACTATTTGTTATATTGGATGGGCCTCTAGAAGAGAAGGGCAGGGAAACATACCAAGGGAAATTATGACAATGTTAAAAAAGAAAGAAAGATAGAAAGAAATATCAATATAAATTTATTTTTTAAAAAGAGAACTTAGGCTCAAATCCCAGCTATTTCTTACCACTTGTGTAATCTTGAGCAAGTCACTACCTCTCTAAATCTGTTTCCTCTTCTGTAAAATGAGGCAATTTAACTACATAATCTCTAAGGTCCCTTCCAGGAGTTTCGGGTACACGTCTTACAGCATTGGGATCGCTCATAGGCTACAAGTAACATCTTTATTGCCACAAAATCACTTTGGCTTCCTCATTTTAAATCAAGCCACATCCATCCATTCAGGTTCTGATTGCCATTCATCTACTAACATGGCCTAGCTTTGGAACAGCCATCTTGAATTTGTTTTCTTTGAACTCCAATAACCCCCAATTCAAATCAACATAATTTCATCGGGGGATATCATAGAAAGTCTGGTTAAGGAAGGGAACGTTCCTAAGGGACTTTGAAAATGATGGCAAAGGCTGCTACCACTGCCACCTCTGGGAATAACTTCTCCCCCTCTTTCCCCAGCCCCAGCTCACTGACATATCATGCATCTCACAGCTCTGTGGTACTCATAGCAATGAATTCTTCTGCGTGGTGGATGAAGACTATGTCCAGAACAAGTGCAATCTCATAAGGCTCAACGAAGAAGAGCCCCACTACAGGCAGCCACCGGACATGATCCTTGATTTGGAACCTGTTAAGGGGTTGAAGGACAACTCCAACCAGAGTGACCTAACTGAGCAGACGGGCAAGATCCTGTATGGACTGATCCATGCCTGCTACATGCTCATAAGAGTATGGCATTGCTCAGATGTTGGAAAAATACCAGTAGGGAGACCGTCCCTGGGTATACTGTGAAAACCATCCCATGATCCCCACTGGACTGTCAGAAATACTGCTGAGGCGATGGCAAACTTTACCATCCCAAGTGCATGGATGTTTACATACCCAACTTGTCCAGGCACTGCCACACAGATGATGCTTACTTTGGCACTGACTTTTTCCACAAGCTCTTCATGTTTTGGCCTGAAAACAAGCGGCCTGCCAAACAATACGTGCCCAGGCCGTGTGCCTTCAAGATCTACCCCAAGGCCTATCAACTATAGCTTCAAGCAGTCAGCAACTTCAAGAGTCCTATCGAGCCTATCCACTGACACGTCTCCTCTTCATCCCTTCAACATCTTAAGATGGATGACACCATCTTCCCTCCTTCTTCCACCATCCCCAAAGACACATACCTTTCCAGACCCCCAGTAGTTTTCAGTTTAAATTAGGAAGTCATTATTGTGGTGATGTGGTGGGAGTGTGAAATAAAGTAGATGAAAAGAAAAGAAAGAGAGAGAGGAAAAAAAGGAAGGAAGAAGGAAAATTAAAGAAAACAAGAACATTTACTATTATAGTTTCAATATTAAGTGTGCACAAAAAAAAAATCCCTGATTGTAAGCTATATGTGCACTTATTATTGTCACCTAGCATTACATTGAAGCACTGCATGATAACTGAAGAGCACTGGAATTGGGGAGAGGAGATTTCAATCAGAATAGCAGCTGTGACACTTAGGGCTTGCATGACTCCAGGCAAGTAACTTACCCTCTTCAAGCCTAATTTTTCCTCGTGTAAAATGGAGATTAAAAACTTATTTTAGTTATATTATTAGGGTGGGGGAATGACACTAAGGACTTTGTAAATATTAAGCCAACATATAAATGTGGACTATGATGATCATTGGTAGAACAGTCAAACTTTTAACTTATACAAAGTGAATGACAGAGATAAATGAGATTGATCTTCTCTCCTGAAGATTATTCTCTTGAAACAACTGAAACAGAGTTGTGTTCATAGTTATTACATGAAAACTATAAAGCGGGTTAACATAGTTGATCATTTTCTAGTTTGTCAAGTCCAATTATTTTCAGTGATACTGGCACTGAGACAAAACCTTTTTTAAAAGTCAGGAAAATGACTGTCTAATATATTAGGCACATTTAGAAGAATCTTAAAAGAATCACATCAAACTCATCTAAGTTTAAGTTTGCTTTGTTGGAAATCTAAATTGTGAATAAGAACATTCTGGATATATAATTATCTGGAAAGTTGTTTCAGTACCTTTTCCCTGTATAGGATATGGGATACATTCCAATGTGTGAGGGGAACCTTAGGAAAACTGCACTGCTATTCAATCTTGGAGTAGAAGAGAGAGCCCTCTCACACAACTGAGTCTACATACACTGAAGAGATCTAAGTAAATCAGGGCTGGGAAAATTAGGCTATGCTCGCCCTCTAAATTATAAGGTCATCTGTCCTAGGAATCACAGATATCCAGCCTCCTGCCTATGGTACTCAATCAAAAGTCATATGACACCTAAGAGGATCAACTTATCTAATTCACAACCAATGATTCAATCTAGATCCAATTTCAGATGACTCCTGATTATGATACACAGATTAAACAGAACTAAATTCTGATCAATACACACAATTAACTTAGAGTACCCAGAATTTCACTCTTTAATTGGGCCACAAGAAACAGAAAGTATGGATTGTAGAGACATACCAGAATCTTTTCAGCATTAAGGGAAAGCAAAGAGTCACAGGGTGGTGATCCTTTTGGCTCACAATCCGAAGAATCATGGAAGTTCAAAAAAGATGCCTCTGCAAAAGAAAAATTTTTCTGATTATTTCCCTCCTACTGAATTCATGGTATTTAATCAAGTATTTAAGCCCGACTTAGAGTTGTAAAAAATTCAGAACTGTTTCACATATAACTCACTTAGCATAATCAGCAATCTTGTTGGTGAGAATTATATAAGTACAGATGCTATGGTAACATTAGCAAGAGGGCATATTCTACCTGCACTGATAAGTACATTCAAGAGGTAAAAATGACAGAACAGAAAAACAAGCCACAGGTGGGAAATTCAAGATTATGAGAAAAAGTTCTCTGAAGGACTAATGAAAAACTCTACATTACCCAGTCAGTAAATATTTGTCAAGCAACTCCTGTGTACCAGGCACTGTGCTAGGTAGGTATTGTTAGGGATACAGAGCAGTGTAAACTTGGCCTGTGCTGTCAAAGACTGGACATTTTGTCTGGGAAAGATAACTTTTCAGTCATGTATGTCTTATTTAACAACTTAAGAATTCAGAGAAGAGAGAGATTCTTGTGGGCTGGAGGTCAGGAAAGGCTTCATAAAGGAGGGAGGATCTGATCTAATCTTGAAAGATGGGTAGGACTCAGATCATCAGAAAGGAAGGAAAAGGGCATTTTTAGAGGCAAGGAGGAAAGAAAGCACAAGTTTTGTATGGACACTGGAGGGAAAGCCTCAAGTCAGAGAGACAAGGAAGGCTCAAAATATACAGCAGCTGGAACCAGATTATGGAAGTCCCCAAATGTCAGGAGTTAGGATTTTTACCTTTTCTTAGATACGGAGAACATTTAAGGTTTTTAAGCTGGGAAGTGACAGAATCAAAGCAATGTTATAGGGAGGCTAACTGGGTAGCAACGTGTGATGGACTGGAATATGAAAAGACCAATTAGGTAGGAAGACTAATTATGAGGCTATGGTAGCAAAAAAGCAAAAGACTAATAGGGGCTTGAACAGAGTGATAGCAGCAAGAATGAAATAGGATATTTACTTCAATGGATCTGGGATTAAACAATAGAGAAACATTCACTAAGCACCTATTATGTGTCAGCCACTGTTTGTTAAGATCTCCCTTAGATGTGAGGACTCATTTAAAAAATGCAAATCACTACTTATACATTTTCCTTTTTCTCATGGGTTGCAATGCCCAAATAATTTACACCAAGCAGCTAGCCTACTGACAAAGAGCTTTTCTGAGGCTGATGAGCTTTTTCCTATTAGCTAGGCTGGCCCTCAAAATGTATCTTCAATGTGTTTTGGGACCCATACTTGAAGTCTTTCCAAGGTGACAAAACCCACCAGAGCTTGTACCCTACTGGCATATCCTTTGAGCAGTTAAGGTCCCCCTGTGGACTACAACAAAGCATCCATAATAGGACCAGTGGAATGGGAAAAATGAGAAAATATTAAAATGAAAAATCAATAGGATTTTACTCCTGACCAGCAAAGAGGGTAGAGGAGTAGGGAGAGAAGGTAGGGAAATGAGAATGAAGAGCCAAGGATAAAAAGGTTATTTTTTGTGTGTATGTCTGAGTGACTAGGACTACTATATCATTGGTAGAAAACAGGAATTCAGAAGAAAGATACCTTTCTTCAAAAAAAAAATTAGTTTGATCTTAAATATATGAGTTTGAAGTAATGGTATAACAGCTAAGTGTAGATCAAGGACTCAGAGCTATCAGGGACCTTAAGAAACCATTTACTTCAACCTCCCCTAAATGCTGTGATCTCCTCTAAAAGTGTTATCAAACTCAAATAGAACCACAAGGCAGTGGGGGACTATACATAAAGATCCCGGTAAGCTGTATGCTGAGTTAGTTTCAAAATGTAATGTTATCTATATTTTGGTAATTTTTATTTATTTTGTTAAATATTTCCCAATTACATTTTAATCTGGTTCTAGCAACACTGGCTACTAGTCTGACAACTCTGCTTTAAACCCTTCAAAACTGATTTTAAACCCCTGACTTGAAGACTTACAATGATAAGGAATTTGTTACCAGAAGCTATTAGAAAGCCCTTCCTTATTCCATCAAGATTTGTGTCCTTGTAACTTTCACCCACTGATCTAAGGTCTCCCCTTTGAAGCAAAAAAAAAAGAAAAGTTTACTTTCTGTGGCTTACGACAGCTCTTTAAATGTCTAAAGACAGCCATCATGTGGCACTTAATACTTTCATTTCCTTCAACCATTTCAAATACAACATGGATTCCAGCTAGCTATCTTTAGATGAAGAGATGCTCCTGGAATGTTGAAAGTCAACTTTGCTCACTCTACCTATAACAGCTGCTGCTTTAATTTTTAGATTTCAAATGTTGTTCCTTGAGACGCACAGGATCATAGGCTGGAAGGGGGGCTTAGAGGTCACAAATACAGCGCCCTCATATTACAGATGAGATAACAAGGGCCCAAAGAGGTTAAGTGACTTGCTTATAGGGTCACACAGCTAGTAAGTAGCAGACTGTATCAATGCCCCTCAAGTATGGTACCAAAAATGGGCACACTACTTCAGATGTGTGAGGTAATCACTACTTCACAAACAATCTGACTACTGTAAAGGACAAACGGAGTATTAGCTCCTTGGATCTAGACACGGTAAACTTCTTAACTTAGACTAACAATGTATTAGCTTATCTCACAGTGAACTAAAAATCCCAGGGCTTTTGCTCATTAAACTGTCAAAACAGGTTCCCAATCTTATTATTATGTAAATGTCATCTTCTGGGTTTTGGCTTACTATTCTAGCACTGAGGATAATTTGGAATCCTGATTCTGTCATGCAAAGTACTAGCTTTTGATAAGCAGGTACTTGTCCAAGGTATAGTGCTTTAAGGTTCATAAGACTTTAAAGTTTAAAGACATTATCTCATTTGATCCTCACAGCTCTGTAAGGCAGCTGTTACAATTATCCCCGTTTTCCAGATGAATTAACTGGGGCTCCATGAGATTACCTGACTTGCCCAAGTTTAGGGGTTGAATAGATGGTTGCTAAAGTTGCTTCCAAGTCCCAAATTCTGTGATTCATGTGACATACTCATATTGGTAACTATCCAGCATCAGGTTACTGTAGGTTATTTATTTCTGAACCTATCTTCTCTTCCTTTTTTCAGTGCTTTTCCCCCCATCAAGCATCAAAGAGAAAAAGGACCTTGATAAGTGACCACCTTCTTCACTTAACACACTCAATTAAGAGCCATTCCAATCCCCAGGCATTATCTACATGTTATTTTATTACCAATAGTCTTGAATGAAGGAAAACATTTAATAATTCCACTTTACCTACCTCTGTGGGAGATATATGGTATGAAGGTTGATACCTTTTAGGCAATTTAGGATTTGTAGAACACCTTGGATTACTTGGAGGAAAAAGAGTTCTGTTCTATATTCCAAATCATAATAATAAAAATCTAAAAAGGTCTTGAAATTCTCCTTATCTTTTTGTATTTTGCTCTCCTGTGAGAGATCAGATGTTTTTGACTTCTAGCCAACTATAAACGGTTTCTTTTTCTGGGTCTTTTGCAATCTGGGATCAAAATAGGAAACAGTATGACTCAGTGGATCTAGCAACAAGGGAAACACTCAAGACATTTGAGTTCTGATCCCAGATCTGTCACCATCACCCTGAGTAAGTTGCTCCTTGCAAAGGCACTAATGCCCTTTGCACTTCATAGGGTTGGACTTACCTCACAGGGGCAACGTAGGGAATAGCAAAAAATTATAATAAACCAGCTCCCCAGAATAAATATCAAACACATCAATAACAAGATGTGCAAAGTACACAAAGGTGAAAAGATCCTGCTTCCCTGTAAACTGCATTTACTATTCCAAAATGTTTTATGAGTTTGCAAGATTATCTGGGATATGACTTCTTAAATTGGGGGTCCATGGCTAGATTTTAAGGGGTCCATGAATTTGGATGGGAAAAAATTATCTTTATTTTCATTAATCTCTATAACCAAAATTTAGCATTTCCTTCCGTAATTAAAAAACATTATTCTTAGAAGGGGTCCACAGGTTTCATCAGGTTGCTAAAGAGACCTATGACATTAAAATGGTTAAGAACCGAACATCTATAGTAATCCACAAAGAAATAGATCTATTGAAAGTTGTGTATCATGAAAGGGAAAAAGATTTTAAGTAAGCCAATCTATTTTTGTGTTTTGCTGGATATATTTATTTTTAAAAACAAACTTAACAATTTTTTTCAATAATTGTTTTGCTGAATTTATAAGAATATGAGGCATTATCCTTTGATCATTGATCAATTGGAGGTGAACAGGCAGTTTTCAGAAGAAAAATCAAATCTATAGGCATATGAAAAAATGCTCTACATTATACTGCTTAGAGAAATGCAAATTAAAACATTGCTGAGGTTGACCACCTCACAACTATCAGATTGCCTAATTGACAGAAAAAGGAAATGACAAATGTTGAAGAGAGGATGGGGGAAAATAGGGACACTAATGCATTGTTGGTGCTCTCCATTCTGGAGAACAATTTGGAACTATGCCCAAAGGGCTATAAAACTGTGCATATCCTTCGACCCAGCAACACCATTACTAGGTCCATACTCCAAAGAGATCAAAGAAAAAGGAAAAGGACCTATGTGTACAAAATATTTATATCAGCTCTTTTTGTGGCGGCAAAAAATTGGAAATTGAGGGGATGTCCGTCAATTGGGGAATGGCTAAATAACTTGTGGTATGATTGTGATGGAATCCTATTTTGCTATAAGGTGAGCAGAATGGTTTCAGAAAAATCGGGGAAGACCTCTATGAACTAATGCAAAGTGAAGTGAGCAGAACCAGAAGAACATTGTACCTGGCAGCAGCAAGATGATTAGCTGTGAATGATTTAGCTATTCCGATCAATGCAATATCAAGACAATTCCAAAGGACTTATGATGAAAAAACGCTGTCTACCTCCAGAGAAAGAACTGATGGCCTATGCATGCAGATTGAAACACTGTTTTAAACTTTCTTTATTATTCTTGGGGTTTTTTGGTCTG